CAGAAACTCCCCTATGAACAGTTCTCTAGCTATTTTCTGAGAGATGGTAAAGGATAAATGTGTAAATGCCAATGAACTCAATTCTTAACAAAAAACCAAGAAACTTTACTTTTAAATAACAATTTCTATTTATTAAAACTTAACAATTTTGAGTAACAATAGTTATTGTCAAGTAATTGAAAAAGGGAGAATATAGTTAATATAGTTTGAACTGAGAACTTGTAGTCAGGTAAAGTATTAAGAAACTGTTAAGTTCAAATATATAGTAATATATACATAAATTTGAAACTTTTTTTTTTTTTTAAGAGAGGTGGGGAGGGGCAGAGGGAGAGGGGAAAAAGAGAACCTTAAGCGGACTTTAAGCCCAGTGCAGAGCCCAACACAGGGCTGGATCTCATGACCCTGAGATCATAACTTGAACCAAAATCAAGAGTCAGATGCTTAACTGACTGAGCCGCCTAGACACTCCTACTAAATTTGAAACCTTTTTTTTTTTTTTTTAGATTTTATTTATTTATTTGACAGAGAAAGATCACAAGTAGGCAGAGAGGCAGGCAGAGAGAGAGAGAAGCAGGCTCCCCGCTGAGCAAAAAGCCCAATACGGGGCTCGATCCCCGGATCCTGAGGTCATGACCTGAGCGGAAGGTCAGTGGCTTAACCCACTGAGCCACCCAGGCACCCCTAAACTTGAAACTCTTAAGTGAATTATTTTTTACAAAACTAACCAAAGAACAAAAATTAGAAGGGGCCAAAAATGTATAGAAAAATCAGTATAACCACCAGAAGTAAAGGGTCTTAAATTTGAGAAAAACATTCATATATTGAGCTCAATTGATTTGGTGTGCTTAGACTTTCAATAATTTACTCTGGTTCTCTTATCTTGGGAGAGATTTTTACTGAACAAAATAGAAAAGAACAGGAAGTTACTCAAAGAAAAAAATATTCTTGAAAGCAAACCTGGGGATGCCTGGGTGGCTCAGTTGATTAAGTGCCTGCTTTTGGCTCGGGTCATGGTCCCAGGGTCCTGGGATCCAGTCCCGCATCGGGCTTAGTGGGGAGTCTGCTTCTCTCTCTGCCTGCTCTGCCTGGGGCTCCCCCTGCTTGTGCTCTTTCTCTGAAAAATGAATAAATAAAATCTTTATTAAAAAAAAAAAAGAAGAAGAAAGCAAACCTCATATAGTTACAGTGGCATGGTTGGGAACGTTTAGTCGGTGGCTTGACCAGTTAAATTCATTGAATGTGGCCCCATAGTGTCCAGAAATTTTATTCTAGATTCTCTGGAGTTTGTGATAAGTTATGACTTTCCATGTTTATCTCCTTTTATGTTTGTAGGCAGAGTTAAAAAAATATATATAATTAAGACTATTAAAGTGTGGTTAGGTTATCAATGATAATACTCCTAAAATCTTTATGTACTTGTGAATTTCAAACTGAAAGGTCCCCCAATAATGGGTCCGTGATTAAAGGAGCGAGACTGATACAAAGTGAAGGTCAAGCAAAGCTTTATTTCACACTAAGCATCAAGAATCAACCTGAACGTTCGGGGCTGCGCCTCTTACAGAGAGGGCGACCCCCCCCCCCTTACCTACTAACTTTTAAAGGGCAAGGGCCAAGTGGTTGGGCCTGGCCACACACAGGCGGCCAATGAGATTGTAACACACAGAGAAAGCTGCACAGCCATGCTAGGTCACACACAATTCAATTGTAACTGAATTACAATTTACCCTAGTAGATATCTGAGTTAGCCTACCACCTTGGTCAGAATTGGTGCCCAAAAGGTGGGGCCCATACTCCTTGGTAGCTAAGGGGACAGTATATGCCCCCACTGATTGGATGTCTCCACCCGGCCTGACCCATCCTTGTATTTGGGCTTTGTTACCTGGGACTGGTTTCCTGGGCTTGCTTTTAAGTAAGTTCCGGGGGAGGGGGGGAGGGGGGCAGGGTCAGTTTTAAGTTTTACCGAATAAACAACAAAATCACTGTTTAACCCAAGATGGAATCCCTCTGGCTAAATAGGCCCTTACAAAACTAGTTTCTACATTTTATTTTTAGATCTTTTTCTGTAGATGGGAAATATTGGGAAGCCTTTTTTTTTTTTTTTTTTACTTGTTCAGGGTCACAGAGAGCTGGAATGGAACCTTGTCTTGTTCCTCTGAACCTTAGTTCTTTCCAACCTACCAGGCTGCAAGCCCACTAATTACCCATGCAGAGAAATTATGCATGTGTTTTCATTGAATTGGGTTGGAGGAAGTGTTCAAGTAGAAAATAAAAAGGAACACCTGGGTGGCTCCTCCGGTTAAGTTTCTGCTTTCTGCTCCTGTCATGAGCACCAGGCAGGCTCCCTGCTCAGCGGGGGAGCCTGCTTCTCCCTTTTCTTCTCCTTCTGCCCCTCCCCCGCTCTTGCTTGCTCTCTCTCACAAATGAGTAAATAAAATCTTTAACAAAGAAGGAGGAAAAAAAAAAAACAAACAAACAGGAGAATGGGAGATGGTGTTCTTTAGAAAAAGTGAATGCCAGACTTAATTTTCAAATAACTAACTCAGAGTCTTAAACTATTATACCATAAAGTCCTGTTTTAATAGTGAAGAAGAAAAATGCATCAGCTGTATGGTATGATGGTACCAAAAAGAGACCTAACCTGGAGTCTGCCACTTGTTTCAAGAGCATGTTTCTTCCCGCGCGGTCCGCGGACCACTTGCGTTACGATCCGCTGGAGAACTTGGTGCAACTGCGGCGCCTCCTCCTGAGTCCGTCCACACGCTGGGCCCTGCGTGCGGCCCAGCAGGCAATCGGCCGCGGAGGAGCTTGTGCGCGGCTGCCCTGAGCTGAGTGACTGAGCTTGGTGGGCCGGAGGTGGGAAAAGCAGGATAGAAGATGGAACCCAGATGGCTGCTTTATACGGTCGCTCCCTTCCTCCCAGCCCCCTCGTCGTGGGAGGTACCCCCCGGAAGAGTTCTGCCTGCTCGCTGCTCCCGTCTGCGCAGACCAGGGGTTCCCGGGTGGGCATATGTAGACACGTTACTAAAAGTCTCCCAGCATCACTCTGCATCTGTAAAATGGGCATCACATTAGTACCCACTTCATGAAGTTGTTAGGAGATCACTAGCTAACATGCTTGGAATGATGCCTGACATTTATTTATTTATTTATTTATTTTAAAAGATTTTATTTATTTGACAGAGGCAGGCAGAGAGAGAAGAGGAAGCAGGCTCCCACTGAGCAGGAAGCCTGATTTGGGGCTCAGTCCCAGGACCCTGGGATCATGACCCGAGCCGAAGGCAGAGGCTTTAACCCACTGAGCCACCCAGGCGCCCCAACAGTGCCTGGCATTTAATAAACACTAAGTAAATGATCCTGCTATCCTGTGCATATTTCTAAGAAGGCTGATGCTTTTTGAAACATTTCTTCTGCTGACTGGTGAACTGTCCAGTTTCATTTAGTTCTTTGTCTAAAAAAGTTACTGAATTGCCTGCTCCCTTTTGTGTATCCACCGTCCTTGGAATATGCAACTATGGAATATCTAGAACACTCGATGTACAGTCGTTTTCCATGTTCATCCCCCCACAACCCAAGGGTAAGGAACCAGGGTTTATTCACGTGGCACCGTATACAGCACAGAGCACAGAAGCTACCCAATGGCAGGCGACATCAAGTGTTTGGTTCTGTTAACTACTCTACCATTAAATGAAAGTGTTCCATGGCTCAGAGTATTTCTCAGCCTTAAGTCTGTGCTTAAATAGGGTATATCTGTGCTGTATCACCAGAAGACAGTGTTTGAAAATATCATTAAATAATCACATTGATTTACATTATCAAATAAAATTAGATTACATAATTTAGCTCTTAGGATGTTCTAGTAGAATATGTTTATATTTTCATTTGCATATTATACATATTTCCTATGATAGTCAAAACTTAATTGGAATTTGAATAATCGAAATTCAGTACATATTTATGTAATACATAGCAAATCATAGATACTTATTTTAATCTCACTTGGTCTGAATATTTGGAATATGTCTGGAATATTGGCAGGCAACGTATTCTAAATTATTTAAATGTCTAAACCTTACGTCATTCTAGTCCCCAAGCTGGAAGCTGTGTGATGTGAAGTACTAAAGCTTGCTGGCATATTTTCCTTTTGTAGAGGACTAACGCTAATAGGGTATATATAACTTCAAAATCAGATGTTTGATGAATGAATTTGAGCTGATTCTCGAAGAACAAATATTTATTGAGTATCAACCAGGTGTAAGATTCTTTTTTTTTTTAAGATTTATTTATTTATTTATTTATTTGACAGATCACAAGTAGGCAGAGAGGCAGGCAGAAAGGGGGAAGCAGGCTCCCTGCTGAGCAGAGCACCCGATACGGGGCTCGATCCCAGGACCACCGGGCTCATGACTTGAGCTGAAAGCAGAGACTTTAACCCACTGAGTCACCCAGTTGCCCCATCAACCGGGTGTAAGATTCTTTTTTTTTTTTTTTAAGATTTTATTTATTTATTTGACAGATAGAGATCACAAGTAGGCAGAGAGGCAGGCAGAGAGAGAGAGGAGGAAGCAGGCACCCCGATGAGCAGAGAGCCCGATGCGGGGCTCAATCCCAGGACCCTGGGATTATGACCTGAGCTGAAGGCAGAGGCTTAACCCACTGAGCCACTCAGGCACCCCCGGGTGTAAGATTCTTAAACCTTAGATTATCTACTCCAAATATGACTTTTGTACAGATTCAGACTTCAAAGAACTTACAGGCTGAAGGGGAAAGTAAGTAATAAAAATACTTATTTTACTCTTGTTCCTTTATGGAAATTTTGAGAAAGTGCTAGGGGAACTTAGGGGAGATGATTATGGGAGTTGATTATATATATAAAATCAAGGTGAATTGGGCCAGGGAAGCAACTAACCAATAGTTGGGCAAAAGTCCTAAGCATGTTGCTTGGTGATTGTAACATTTACTTTTCCTGAGAGTGGAGTTGACATTGTGCTGTCTTGTCCTAGGTAATCTCCTTTCTCTTCATTGGTCTGATGTCCATGATGATTCCCCTATGTAGGGTCTTTGGGGCCCTAATTGCTGTCTGTCTTATCTTGGGTCTCTTCGATGGATGCTTCATTTCCATTATGGCCCCCATTGCCTTTGAGTTAGTTGGTGCCCAGGATGTTTCTCAAGCAATTGGATTTCTACTTGGATTCATGTCTCTACCCATGACTGTGGGCCCACCTATTGCAGGTAAATATGATGATTCTTCAGTAATTTACTATATGGAAAATATGATTTTTAGGTTGCCGGTCTTTTGCTTTTGTGTGTGCCTTACTGATAACAAATTTTTAATAAGACCAGCCTTGGATGACGTGTTGAAAAAGTTTGCTGAGGAGTCCCTCTTATCCTTATTGATACAAAACACACTCTATAAAATGTCCAATTGTAAGCTTCTGGGCTTTAAGCTTTCACAATGCCTATATTTCATTTAGTATGTTTTGGGGAAATGGAAACACAGTTGCTTTTTAAAAAGAGATGAAGATTCTAAAAGATTTCTAAATATGTACACTTTGTGTAAGAGATCATATCCCCCCCCCCAGAAATAATTAATGGAAAACAGCATTTAGTGGAAACAACTGAAGTGTCCATCAGTAGATGGATAAACAGAATGTGTGTAGCTATATAATGGGATAGCATTCAGCCATAAAAAGCAAGTATTGTACCAATCAATACATGCCACCAGGGGGACGAACCTTGTGACCATTATGCGAAGTGAAAGAAGCCAAATACAAAAGGTCACACACTGTCAGATTTTATTTACATGAAATATGCAGAAGAGGTAACTCCATAGAGGCAGAGAGCAAATTGGTGGTTTCCAGGGGCGGGAAGGAAGGGGAATTAGGGAATAACTAACTGCTTAATGGGTATGGCATTTCCTTCTGGTGTGATAAAAATATTTTGGGACTAGATAGAGGTGGTGGTTTTACAACATTGTGAATGTGGTAAATGCCACAGAAATGGTTAATTTTATGTTCTATGAATTTTACCATTAGAAATCTTCTGAACAGTATAAAGGTGCCTTGTGTTCAATATAACTTGGGTGCCCATGTGAATTATTAGGTTATGATTCGATAAAACTAGGATAAGGTTGAATTGTATGTATTGTCATCTGTGTCTGGCCTATGAGGGGCCCAGCGAAAGCTCACGCTCCTATCCAGAACCACTCATATCTAGCAACTTTGCCAACTGGGAACGTAGTCATGAATAAGCAAACAATCACTAAAGGTCTCAGTTTCCCCGCAGGAGGACCCTCCAGCCCTTCCCCTGTCCCCCAGATAATACACGACTTCCACTATTTTTACACCTCACAAGCTTGGATTTTTAGGGTTTCCAAGTCTACAGCAGATTATAAGCAGCACTTTGGTAGGAATGCTGTTTGCAACTAGAAATAACTGAGAACAGACCAGTAACGGGAGATAACCGGAAACTTCCAAAGTAGGCCGAATAGGTGGCCGCTGGCAACCGAAAGCTCTTGGCTCACCAGGAGGTTCTGAGGGGTCACAGTATGACAGTCAGACATGATAATTAGTGCTCAGAAGGAGGAAAGGTATAGTTACATTCAGAATATTCTGATTCAGAAGATAGGAAAATTGTATCTGCATATTGTTGTATCTGTTGTATCTGTATATTGTTGTACAATATACATTTCTAATTTCTAATACAATATCTAATGTTGTATCTGTATATTTTAGGTTTCCGTCTAGCATAAATGTACATTTTTTTAATGTGTCAGTACTTAATGGACAAATTCTCGGCAGTTTATTTCAAAAAGTCAGATACTCAATTCATTGTGTTCCCTGGACATTTCGGATAACTGATGTTTTATTTTAAAAGCGACAAAAGTTTAAAAACACTAAGATAACTCTTAAAATCTGGGTTTTGTGGGGCACATGGCTGGCTCAGTTGGTAGAGCCTGTGACTCTTGATCTCAGGGTAGGGAGTTTGAGCCCCATGTTGGGTATAGAGATTACTTAAGAAATAAAATCTTTAAAAAAAAATCCGGATTTTGTTAGAGAAATTAGAAATAAGGAGTATTCTGCAGTCAAATGCTCTACCACTGAGCTATACCCCCAGAAATAAGGAGTATTCTGAATGAGAGTTTTCAGAAGCAGGGCCCAAGGAGCTATCAGACTGCCAAACGTTTTACTCCCACGTGCTGAAATATATTTAACAATCTAACTTTTTCATCTTAACTCTCAGATCTATAATTTTTCATGATTTTGAATTCTAAGTTTATTTATCTTTTTAAAGATTTTATTTATTTGAGGGAGGGAGAGAGAGAGAGAGCATAGGCGGGGGAGCGGGGAGGAGCAGAGGCTGAGGGAGAAGCAGGTTCCCCGCTGAGCCAGGATCCTGACCTGGGGCTTGATCTTGGGACCATAGGATCATGACCTGAGCCAAAGGCAGATGCTTAACTGCCAGAGCCACCGAGGCACCCCTTGAATCCTAATTTTAAATACCTTTATGTTATTTCATAAGCAAGTAGGCCCAAGAAAGTTTGCAATACAGACATTGTGGGATATGTGCGTATGAGAGAAGTTTCAGGCTGGTGGTTTATCCACCTTCCCCTGAAATAAGGACCGTTATACCCTGGGTCACAGTACCCCAAAGGCCTCGGAACGGTTTTGAAAAAGCCAAAGCTTGGTTACAAATATTTTTTTCCATGTAATATCTTGGTACACAAACCCAAAGACCTGTAGTCTGTGGCAAGATTAAAGATCTAAGATCTTTTCCTTTCTCGTATCAGAAAAGGTTTATACTTCAGACCCATTTCCTAAGAAATGTGTGACTGATCTGAGACCCCTAGGAGCCACCCTTGTTCTCTCTCAGTGACAGTTTTTTCCCTTCCCAGGGTTACTTCGTGACAAGCTGGGCTCCTATGATGTGGCATTCTACCTCTCTGGAATCCCTCCCCTTATTGGAGGTGCTGTCCTTTGTTTTATCCCCTGGATCCATAGTAAGAAGCAAAGAGAGATTGATAAAACCACTGCAGGAGAAAAGATGGAGAAAATGTTGGAGAATCAGAACTCTCTGCTGTCAAGCTCATCCGGAATCTTTAAGAAAGAATCTGACTCTGTTATTTAATGTCTTACATACCTCTACCAGACTGAACTTGCTTTCAGAAGTTTAAGCAAGTTTTCCTTTTATATAAATTGCAAATTTCTTATTTTTTTAATTACATACTAGGAATAGCACAATAATGAGGAACTAGAACCCTTATTACTACAAGAACCATTTTCTGCCACTGAATAGCTAGCTGTCTGGCATTTCCATGAGTGTGCGGGCAGAGACTCTGGTATATGAAAACTTACGTCGGAAAGTCAAATATTGTGAGCATTGATGCTATTTCAGTAAAAAGCAACTCTGGAAACTGTGAATGCTAATACGCTTGTACAAATATTTAAAAATACCTCAAGCTATAATGAAAGGGTTGCAATTTGGTTAGGACTGGAAATATTGTCTGTTGTCTCACGTGATGTTTTTAATTCCGGTATCTCTGTTTTAATTTCTTCTGCTACTGGGAAACTTTTTACAAGACTGAAACCTGGATTCTAGGTAATCTTAGATCTACCTAAACCTCAAGTCTGTGTTAAAGCTGCTTGCCTGCTGTTAAATAAGATCTGAAATTAAGTTATTTCGCCTTGCTCTGGTGTCCAGGGAGCTTCCAGGAGCAGATGGTAGCACCGTGTTCAGATTCGTGCACGACACAGAAGGGATCCTGGTCATAAGGGCAGAGCAATTCGGGAGGCAGGCATTTCTTCCTCCTCCATTTGTTCCCTTTCGGTTTGCAGTGTGTTTTACTTAAGTAGCCAGAAACCCCCAAATTTCTGAACTTGTTTAAAGTGTAACAATAAAGTGAAATAGAATGAATGAAAGAGATTCTGACCATTTCACGTAGAATTTTTCTGACTTCGGGATTTGTTAGCACTAGGACGTGACATTTCCACAGAGTCTTACTGAGCATGTTATCAAGTTGGCAGTTTCAGGTACAAATGGGGAAAAAAAATCTTTGTATTCATGCAGAAAATACTTCTGATAGAAACAGTTGCTCAAATTCATTTATAAAATTAATAGGTCTTGAAAGATTAAAAGCACTTATAAAGAGAACTTCTGTATTTCCAAAACCTTCTGGCAAAATTTGCACTCGTTGGTATTTATCCCAGCACACTCCCCATTAACATTCTCAGATTTTTCTATTTATGCAAAGACACTTGCATAAATGTATTTTTTTAATATTTAATTTTAATTTTTAAGATTTTTTTAAATTTAAAATTAAAATTTAATTTTTAATTTTAATATTTAAAAGTATTAATGTTTTAAAGACCTAAAATTAAAACCAAAGTCATGCCATGACCTATACTCATCTACAAAAATAAAACTCATCTACAAAAAATAGGAATACTTTCCTCATCCTGAATGTTTCTTATTTATGTCTTTGAAAGTTAATATGCAAAGTATATTTAAGTCCTAAGTATAAATGTGTATTAGAGCTTCCTCAAATGTAGCTTGTTTACTGGGGAAGAATGCTGTCTTTTCTAAAGCACCTCCAGGATCCATCTGTTTTGAACTTCTCTGTAAGGACAGAAACTTAATCTCTTATCTCCCTACTTTTTCTTCCAGCATCTAATCTTTCTTTGTCTTTAGCTGAAACCTGAAGAACATATGGATTTGTAGTTGTGGATTGGGGGGGCAGGCCACATAGGGGGCTAGAGGGAAGTGAGGTGGTTAATAAAACAGCTAGAAAACCCAGAAGTTCAAAGTAGGAATGCTAAATGTGCAATTTATTTTTAATAGGATTTTAAATGATTTTTGATTGTGAAGACATTCAGCAGTTTACTATGACATACACATGGTTGTAACTTTTACTACTTCTGTATTTCATATTTAGGAAACTTGGGTAATTTGTCTTTTTGGAAGGTTATGCTGCTTAAAAAACAACTATATTTTGACCGTTCTGCCCTTTCATATTCTTATTTTAAGTTTTTAGAAAATGACTCAGGGGGCACCTGGGTTGCTCAGTCAGTTAAGTGACAAACTCTTGATTTCATCTCAGGGTCATGAATTCAAGCCCCGCATCAGGCTCCGTGCTGGGCGTGGAGTCTGCTTGAGATTTTCTCTCTCCCTCTGCCCCTTGCCACCCAAGCACCCGTGCTCTAAAAAAAAAAAAAAAAAAAAAAAAAAAAGCTTAGAAATGATAATATATTATTGGGTTCTTTATTTATTCATGCCTAGTTATATAAAAATGTGCTTCCTCATTATTATCAGTGCTTTTGAGATCAGAAAAATATACAACTAAGACCAATCATCAAACCTGCCATTATAGAAATATTTTTTTAATAGTTTTAGCATAGACTCCTAAGACTTGTCCCTACCCCTGCCAATTTTACAGAAAGAATTCTTAAAGAGAAAATTAACTCGGTAGAGACCTCCAAAATGTTTCCCCTTTCAAAATTTGACTGATTTTAAAAAGGAAAAAAAAAAAAGTAATAATCTGAAACTCAAAGGTTAGTTTCCATAACAAAAGAGCAAAGTGGGGCGCCTGGATGGCTGGGTTGGTTAAGCCTTGGACTCTTGATCTCAGCTCAGGTAGTGATCTCTCAGGGTTGTGAGTAGTAAAGTGGAGCCTACTTAAAAAAAAAAAAAAGGCGAAGTAGCTGAAGTATTTATAGTAAAACCTAGATCTCAGAATATTGTGTTCATGTATAAAATTACACATATGCAGTTTTCAGTCAGATGGAATGAATTAAACAGTCCTATGACACTGAAAAATCTCTCCTATAATAGACTGTTATGGAGAGTTCTTTGCTGTAATAACATAAAGTTAAAAAGTACAAAAGATGCTAAATTCTATAAAATTATATTTCATAACATGTTTGGTACAAAAAGCTCTAGAAGTCTGAAGTTCTGGAAGTTCTGCAAACTTAGAAATGAAAAATACTAATATTCATAAGGATTTATGTTTTAGAACAAGAAACGTTACCCTAATCTTTCCAGGTAAATCCTTTCTAATTTCTGAACAGTGTTAACTTTATTGCAAGAGAGTGACCTGGTGGGCCTAAATGTTTTTGTTCAATCCATGCAATTGAGAGGAAAACAGCAGAGTCAGAACTCTGCTTTCTATCTCATCATCCTAATTCTCAGAGAGAATCAGCAAATTCTCACATTCAGAAGGTTCTAGCATTTGAGGCCAACAATATAAGGGGAATAATTATTCCTCCTTAAAGAGACTCTGAATCAGATACTATTGTAACGGACACCCATGGATCTTCCAGAAACATTTCAGTTAAAGCAGTAGATACTCTTGGTATCCATCCATTTCAGTAATAACAAACCACCTAGATTGATACTTTACTCAAAATTTATAAATTTCTTTGATCACAGTTGCAATCCTTTTTCTGCAGTCCTACTAAGAGACTTGTAATATCCACTCGAGGTTGCACAGGCTTGCATTAGGCTTCAAATTCTAGTCAGAAACAGAAGCAGGACTTCATTTGTACTTCCAGATCCACAGTACTTTTTTCTATGTGTTTGCAGAAGATCCCGTGGGCTCTGCCCAAGTATGAAGCAAACCGTAACTCTGTTAGCTTCAACTTTCTACACTTTTTAAAAAAATTTATTAACATATAATGTATTGCTTGCTTCAGGGGTACAGGTCTGTGAATCATCAGTCTTACACAATTCACAGCACTCACCATAGCCCATACCCTCCCCAACATCCACCACCTGGTCACTCCATCCCTTCCCTCCCCTCCAGCAACCCTAGTTTGTTTCCTGAAATTAAGAGTCTCATGGTTTGTCTCCCTCCCCGGTCCCATCTTGTTTGATTTTTTTCCCTCCCTTCCCCCTACGACCCCCGTCCTGCCTCTCAAATTCCTATCAGAGAGATCTTATGATAATTGTCTTTCTCTGACTTATTTCACTCAGCATAATACCCTCTAGTTCCATCCACATCATTGCAAATGGCAAGATTTTTGTGGGTTTTGACGGCTACATAGTATTCCTTAAGGTAAATGTACAATTAGTTGTAAAGTAAACACAGGTTTGTTTTTACTTCTGGTAATTCTAATCCTTTTAACTGCACTGAAGAATATTTTAATTTTTACCTTTGTTATTTATAAACCACTTTATGTCCGGATGACTGTTGCTGTTAAATCAAGAGAAAACCGAATAGAAAATGCAGTGAACAGGGGCAGGCCACGTCCAGCGTGGGTGGCACCGACGGGGGTTCCTGGTAGTGCACTTTTCCGTTCTTTCTTACACTCTGCTTGCTTTTCCTGTTCTCTTTCTCCTTATCATTCTTTTTCTCTTTACTTCCCTCGTCCTTCAAAAACCTGCTGAGGAGTTCATTAACCTCCTTGCTTAGTTCTACTGGCTGCTTAGCAGCCCTACTTACTGGTACCTATGGCTTCGGAGAATGGAAGCCCACGCCACGTCATGTAACCTGGTGAATGGCTTGCTCTCAGCCTTGAACTAAAGAATTCTATTGGTCTACATTGAAAACATTAATTATGTGATTAAAATCTGGGAAGGAAGTTCATATGACTAGCATCTTTTGTGCTAATATCTAGAACTTAAATGTTTAATGCTTTCAGAGAAAAGACTGTCAAATTCTTAACATGAGAATTTTCAGAGGGCATACTTTTTTACTTTGATTTTCATATTCTATTAAAGTTTTGCTAGATCTTAGCCTGAGAGCACGTTGTGGAGGATGCTTTGGAACGTAGCGTGCCCCTCACATGTGGTTCTTAATGAATCTGTGTTAGACTTTATGGTGAATGGTGTTAGAGTAAACTCCCAGAGTCTAGAGACACAAGTGGAAAGGAGAAGTTAATTAGCTCCAATTAAAAAATATGTTAACAATTTAAGTTTTAAACTCCTTAGGAAATTTCGAACACCGAAATCTTCATTGTTGCTGGCATAAACGTTAAGGAGCAATTTTTGTGTTAGGCTGCAAATTGTTGCTTTTGCCAAAGTGTGAAAAGGAGAAGGAAGTGAAGTGTTCTTATTTTACATTTATATTCTTTAATTTGAAAGGCAAGTAGTATCTTAGCTAAGAGAAAAGAATCATCGTAGTTTAACTCTTAAAAACAAAATTCTTACCTTGTTACTAAAAGAGAACAAGTGTGCCATTTGTAATGGTGATGTGGAGTAATGTGGAGTAAAAACAGCAGAGAAGGCAGCCTTGCCACTCTACTTGACTGACAATCATTAATTCTGCTCGGGTTACACTCACTGATTTTTGTTGATACTTAGGGGTAATCTGGAGCTGAGTTTGAGCATAGTTCCTGGGACAAAGATTAACAAGGTGGAGAGCAACAACAGACAGCTCGTGGGCTCACTGTAATTTTATAATCACAGCCCTTTTTAGCAGTTTATTTATTGGCAGACACTAATGCTTTGTTTTATAAATACGCTATAGAGTGATAAGTTACAATCTCAGAAATAAAGGGCCAAATGCCCACAGCAAATGTGAAACCTGAAGACAACAATCACAATTCCTAACCTTACATAAATGTGGACTTAACCAGATGACTTTAGATGACTCCTCTCGAGACAATAAAGATCCATGAAACAATTCATTGCCACATCTTTGAGTCACTCAAAGAAACCCTGAAACTTGGGATCTAGTTTACTTAGCTTGCCCTTTTAAAAATTACCAATTTTTCAATAATAAACATTAATCATCTTGATCTCTGTACCTTCAAGGAACTCTCCCACGGTACTATTTTCATGACATACAATATAGGAGGCTACCTCATTTACAAAACAGAAGATTTCAATTTTTTGTTAGTGTGTTAGACATTGGGAATGAAATAAAACCTAAGTACTTGATCATGACAGGCCACCTACCTCAGCTTTCAGTGTCCAACTAAAAGCCC